GGAATTGTTATTGTTGTAGACAGATTTTGTTATTATCGTAGACAGAAGTTGTTATTAATGTCGACAGAGATCATTATAGACAGAATTTGCTATTGTTGTAGACAGAAGTTATTTATTATTGTTGTAGACAGGAATTGTTATTGTTGTAGACAGATTTTGTTATTATCGTAGGCAGAAGTTGTTATTGTTGTCGATAGAATTTGTTATTGATGTCGACATATTTTGTTATTATCGTAGGCAGAAGTTGTTATTGTTGTCGATAGAATTTGTTATTGATGTCGACAGATTTTGTTATTAACGTAGACAAAAGTTGTTATTGTTGTCGATAGAATTTGTTATTGATGTCGACAGAGATTATTATAAACATATTTTGCTATTATTGTAGACAGAATTTGTTATTTTTGTCGATAGAATTTGTTATTTTTGTCGATATAATTTGTTGTTTTTGTCGATAGAATTTGTTATTTTTGTCGATATAATTTGTTGTTTTTGTCGATAGAATTTGTTATTTTTGTCGAAAGAATATGTTGTTTTTGTCGATAGAATTTGTTATTAATGTCGATGGAATTTGTTATTATTGTAGACAAAAGTTATTATTGTAGACAGAATTTGTTATTATTGTAGACAGAATTTGTTATTATTGTAGACAGAATTTGTTATTATTGTAGACAGAAGTTGTTATTGTTGTCGATGGAATTTGTTATTATTGTAGACAGAATTTGTTATTATTGTAGACAGAATTTGTTATTATTGTAGACAGAAGTTGTTATTGTTGTCGATGGAATTGTTGAAAAAATAAAAAAAGGAAATGAATAAATAACATAACCGATACATTTGATTAATCACTTTAACAATTTCTTGATATTAGACTATCAATTAATTCTTTTGACTCATTGTATTTATTTACAACCTTTGAAGTCATTTCAACTAGTGTAATAAGTTCAACGAGGTATTCGCAAAACTCCATATTTAATAATAAAGATTTGGACTTAATTATTGAAACGGCTTTATCAATGTCTTGGTACAAACCGATGTTATTATCTAACTTTTGTTCTAACTTTTGTTTAGCATATGAAACAAACTTATCAATATCATCCCATATTAAATAAAGCACTGGCTGTTTTGGATCCAAGGCTTTTAAATTTAACATATGTTGCTTAACATTAGAAATAAACTCTTTGGTCGCATTAGTAACAACGTTTTCAGATAAAGATACCAAACTTTCAACAAAATCTCTGTCATATAAACTTAACTTGTGTTTATTATACATCAACCAATACAATCTTGTTCTTGACACAACATCCATTATTTCCCACATTAAATAATTTAAATAATGTAAATCATTTATGCGGGAATGATATTTGTTTTTAATCCCGTCGAGCATTTGTATTGCCTCATCGCATTTTTTTATGGCGACTAAAATGTTTTCATGATAATTAGCGTAATCCCCTAATTTACCAATTTTGCTGTTATATTCCTCATATTTTGAAATGAGCTCGGTAAGCGGAAATATAATTTCGTCAATTTTTTCAATAGACATATCGTAGTTTCGTCTCTAAAAGAGCTAGTTGTTTTTAGTTGATGATAATAAGGGTATCGCGATCCTAATATTTTCAAATTTTTAAATCACAATACTGGGGTGGCAAATTATATTGTCAATATATGCCCTTTTTTATTTAATTTACATTCATTTTGCTAAAATTTCGATTTGAATGTGTTTTTTATTTTTATTTTTTATTTTCTATTTTTAGTCAATACAATTTGTTGAAAAAATAAAAAAAGGAAATGAATAAATAACATAACCGATACATCTGATTAATCACTTTAACAATTTCTTGATATTAGACTATCAATTAATTCAATTAATTCATCGTATTTATTTACAACCTTTGAAGTCATTTCAACTAGTGTAACAAGTTCAAGGAGGCATTCATAAAACTCCATAGTTAATGGTTCGGACTCAATTATTGAAACGGCTTTATCAATGTTTTGGTACAAAATGATGTTATTATCTAAATTTTGTTCTAACTTTTGTTTAGCATATGAAACAAACTTATTAATATCATCCCATATTAAATCAAGCACGTCGCTGTTTGGTTTACCGGCATTTAAATTTGACATGTGTTGCTTAACATTAGAAATAAACTTTTTGGTCGCAGTAGTAACAACGTCTTCAGGTAAAGATACCAAACTTTCAGCAAATTTGTTGTTATTTAAGTTTAACTCGTAATTATTATACATCAACCAATACAATCTTGTTCTTGGCACAATATCCTTTATTGTCAACATTAAATAATGTAAATCATTTTTGCAGGTAGGATAATCGCCCGCAATCTCATCCTCGTCGAGTCTTTGTAAGATCTTATAGCATGTATCTATGGCTACTACATTATTTTTACGACAAGTTTTGTAAATCTTGTTATTTTTGCCCATATCGATTTTGTTGTTATATTTATCATAATTAGAAATGAGCCGGTTAAGCACATTTTCAAATTCTTCAATTTTTAATTCGTCAATTTTTACAATAAACATATCGTTGTTAGTTTCGTCTCTAAAAGAGCTAGTTGTTTTTAGTTAATGATAAAAAGGGTATCGAAATCCTAATATTTTCAAATTTTTAAATCACAATACTGGGGTTGCAAATTATATTGTCAATATATGCCCTTTTTTTATTTAATTTACATTCATTTTGCTAAAATTTCGATTTGAATGTGTTTTATTTTATGTATTTTGTTGGCATTTATCCTTTTTGTCATTTTAACACGATTTTTAAAAATGACAAAGATAAAAAATGAGGGGTATATGTGGGTACAATTAAATCGAAAATTTTAGTGGGGTGGGGTGGTTACTAAAAAAACTTCAAGGTTTGCCCGTTACAGAACATGTAAATTATGGTTTTGTTAAACAAATTATTTTGATAAATTCTGTCAACAATGACAACAAACAATGACAACAAACAATGGCATCAAATGTCACCGAGCCCATATCTTATGTTTTATGGCTGCAAATATTGTTTTACTGTTAGGCACTCTGTTCTTTTTCTTTAGCGCAAGTGCAAAAAGGTGTAATAGCCAACACACAAAACAAAGTTTGTTATTAATGTTAATTGTTAGTTTTACATAAATAGCGAATATAAATAAAATCGATTAGTGTTATAAATAACTCTTGAATGAACGTTTTTACGGACATTTTTACAGACTTTGTGTTTATATTTATTTTTGTGTTTGTGCTTCTACATTTTGAACTTATAAATATCACCACAACAATTTGTTATTATTGTGGACAGAATTTGTTGTTATTGTAGACAGAAATTGTTATTATTGTCGATAGAATTTGTTATTATTGTCGATAGAAGTTGCTATTATTGTCGATAGAAGTTGTTATTATTGCAGACAGAAGTTATTATTGTCGATAGAAGTTGTTGTTATTGTCGATAGAAGTTGTTATTATTGCAGACAGAAGTTATTATTGTCGATAGAAGTTGTTGTTATTGTCGATAGAAGTTGTTATTATTGTAGACAGAAGTTGTTATTGTTGTCGATTGAATTTGTTATTATTGTAGACAGAATTTGTTATTATTGTGGACAGAAATTGTTATTGTTGCCGAAATAATTTGTTATTATTGTGGACATAATTTGTTATTGATGTTAACAGAAAATATTAGACAGTAATTGTTATTGCTGTAGACATAATTTATTATTGATGTCGACAGATTTTTTTATTGTTATCGATAGAAATTGTTATTGTTGTAGACAGGATTTGTTATCGATGTGGACGGGATTTGTTATTGATGTCGACAGAAAATATTATAGACAGTAATTTGTTGTTGATGTTGACAGAAATTATCATAGACGGAATTTGTTATTGTTGTGGGCAGGATTTGTTATTAGTGTCGACAGGAATTATTATAGACATAATTTGTTATTGATGTTGACAGAAATTATCATAGACTGAATTTGTTATTGTTGTAGGCAGGATTTGCTATTGATGTCAACAAAAATTGTTATAGACAGGATTTGCTATTGATGTCGACAAAAATTGTTATAGACAGGATTTGTTGTTGATGTTGACAGAAATTATTATAGACAGGATTTATTGTTGATGTCGACAGAAATTATTATAGACATGGTTTGTTGTTGATGTGGACATAATTTGTCATTAATGTCGACAGAAATTATTATAGACATGATTTATTGTTGATGTAGACACAATTTGTTCTTGGTGTCGACAGAAATTGTTATCGGTGTCGACATAAATTGTTATTGATGTCGGCATAAATTATTATAGACATGAATTGTTATTGATGTCGACAGAACTTGTTGTTGACGGAATATGTTGAAATAATTTATTAGAGTGGGGTGGGAGATTACTATAATACAAGATAACGCAAATGTAGATAACCAAATGAAACTGGTTTTTTACAAATTTACGATCATTATTAAAATTTAACCTAATTTTTGTTGTTTAATCTGTTTTACCATTAATACGTTTTTGTGTTTTTTGGCAAATTATATTGGCCTAATTAATATAAATACGCGGATGATTTAAAATTATTTCTTTTACATCCCTGTACTGAAGATTTAAAATAAAATGAGACAAAAATCCTATTAAAATCTAAAATGTTTATCCATTACAGGAATATGTAAATTATGATTATGTTATAGCGACAATTACAACCACAACTAATTAGTTTTTAGTCCACATTATATTATTATATTGGCATTAATGTTTTTACAACATAATATCTATATTAAGTAAATCGCTCTTTATAGAACTTATAACTATTCATTACTAACACATTGTTGTCATGTCATTATTTCTTTAAATAGTTTTGTCATTGTCTCATTTTATTTTAAATCTTCAGGGGTGTAAATGTATTAAAATTAAATTACCTAAAATCGCAAATTTAAAAAAAGAACATGTATCGGCAAAATAATATAATTTATACCATTATGCGTTTATAATTTGTTTTAACATACACGAATTGTGGGATTTATAAATTAATGTCCTGTTATAAAAAGAGTGTTTAATGTGTTAGAATAACATAACAAATTTACCTAAAATCAAATAAAATAATTATATATTGCAAAAAAAATAATGTGCGTCACAATCATTAAAAATAGTAATGCAGATATTCAAAATCGACCGGTGTGCTAGCTCTAACAGTTTGTACAATATCAATTAAATTGTTCTCTTTTGTTGATGGCTCTGTGAATTTTTTAATCATCATCTTGTATACAAATTCCGGAATAAGAAGAACGTCGTCTTTATAGTTTACAAAGTATCTATAGAAATTATTATGGAGGCTTCTATCAAAAGACGTGTTAACCCAAAGAATTCTAACAAAGTAGTTGTTATTAATTCCTTTTACGAATTTGATTAATGATGTTCTTGTAGCAAGATCCAAGTTGGTGTTATCAACAATAATCGTGTTTCCAGATATCGCACTTGATTGAATCGATTTAAGCATTTTTGGTTTTGTTTTAAGTTTGTCAAGACTTATACAGTCAATTGCGGCGCCGTCGTTTTCATATATCTGGACTATGTTGTTCGCTATAAATGACTTGCCCGATGCGGGCAAACCGACCATTAAAATTAACTCAGGTTTATCATTTTTATTTTTAATGTATTTAAATTTTGTTTTAGGATCAAAGAGTGCCGGATCAAGTTGTGAAATGGGATATTCAATTTTACCTATTGAGGTTGTATCTCCGATAAATAGTCTTTCGGGGGTAATAAAATCTATCGCACAATTGTAAGCAAATTTAATATCCGCACTTGTGTGGTCTTTTTCTCTTCCTGCCCCATCACCGCAAAAAAAACTTTTATTAACATCAATGTCTTTATTATTATTAATAATGTTAAAAAATGTCGGGTATGGTTTTCGATGAATATCTTTGTGAACTGCGCAAAATATTCTAAATGACATATTTGGATATGTCGCAATTAGATCTTTTTCGATATTATCGATCTTTATTTTAAATTCATTTGTTTTTATATCAGACTTTTTAATTCCTGCCTGGTTTGTTACAATTATTATTTCAAAGTTCTTGTCATTAAATTCTTTAAGTTTATCTTTAACATTATCATGCGCCCATTTCCAATCATCAAAATCTTTTGGAAACCTTCTTTCTGACTTTGTATTAATTAAAGTCTGGTCAAGATCAAATCCCGCAATTTTTCTTTTATTTGGTTTATTTATTAAATTAACATTATTACTTTCACCATAAAGATAGCCAATTTCGGAATCTTTTGAGCCAATTAAAGCATCTTTTACTAAAACGTATTTCCAACGCATTATCTTGAATTAAATAGTTAATTTCTATATTTTTTTACATAACATTTTCAATTTTATTTAATTGACTTTCTATATCCGTATCCAACACGTTATTTGTGTTTGGGTGTTGTATAATCAATTACAGACTATATGTATATTAATTATTGGGCATTATGTATTACACGAAATCAAGGACAAATATAAATAACACGAATGGTGTTAAATCATTAAATACGTTGAGTAAGGGTAATCGAATGAATGTTGACAGAATAATGTTAGAAAGACAAATAACGACGCATAATTTTGATCATAATAACGGCGATTTTATTGGTGAATTAACTGGGGAAAAAATCGGCACACATGATATTCACGATAGAGGAATGCCAGTCAGGTCGTCTTTTACGATTAAAAAATCAAAATATGACGATAATTCCCATCATGATTTTGATCTTTTTGAAAAAATAGATAGACGTCGTGATAATATACAATATTCTAACACAAGTACTGGTGAGTATTCGGGGATTGATGAAGCAATGGGATCCATAATGAGGGGCGTTGATCCTTATGAGACATGTGTGTCTGGTATAAATGAGACAACGTGTTGGATGCATTCGAATATGTTTAAAATATTTGAAACATCGACATCGGGCAGTGACCATATTGTTAACGGTCTCGGTTTATTTTCGTCATTTGGTGTTATATATTCAATTGGGCGCGGAAACATAGAAATTGAACTCAAGAATTATTTTGGATATCAGAATAAACATCATTTGGTTGCAGGGCTACTTACTGTCAGGGAATTAATGAATGGGCATAGGAATCAAATTATTATTGACAATTACATAATTAATGACAAAGAAATTCCGTCAAATTCCAGAGTTTCATCAAAACTCAAAAAACTCATATTTAATATTGTAATTAACAGAGACTATCCTGATAAAGAAGCAGTTAGGGTCAATAACATTATCAAAAAAATTAGCAAAATGTCGGACGTTGTAAGTCCAAACACTTTAGCAAAAACAAATATTAGTATCATAACTTTGGCAAATGTGAATCCAATATGGGCATATAAAGTTGATGATGTAATTAAGGGTGTGTCGCATGTTGATGGAAAACCTGTTTCATTTATTAGATTTATAGGAAAGACTTTCGGTCATTATGAAGATCCCGAAAGACAGATCATCGAATTGCCTCTTTACAATAATGTTCTAGTAATAGGTCTGATTATTAACAAAAGAAATTCACACGAACCGACTAATTTAAAAAATCTGATCACTTCACTTAATTACATGAAGCCAATAGTACTCGATGAAGTAATATTACCGATTATAAAAAAAAGATATAAAACACGCCTTAACAAAACACTTCAAAGCACCGGACTTAATGTAATATTCAAAGACAATGACATAAATTCCCTTTATTATGAAGGTGGAGTAATTAACGACTGTATTCAATATGTTGACATAAATTTTAATGCAAGATCCTCAAACACAAAATGCGACAATAGAGGATATAGAACAACTCGGAAGTTTATATGTGACAAACATTTTGAATTTTATTTAAGACATACCGAAACAAACTGTATAATGTTAATGGGTAAAATGTAAATGGGTAAAATGTAAATAGGTAAAATGTAAATGGGTAAAATGTAAATGGGTAAAATGTAAATGGGTAAAATGTGGAGTTTTTTATTGATAAAACAAATGTTTCACCAGTAACATTTTCTTTGTATTATAGTGTTTATTATATTATATTATAATGGATGCAGATAGAAATGGAAATAGAAATACACAAGTTTCTGATTTAAACAACACAATATTATCTAGTAATACTTTTTTAGGGAAATTTTTAAACCAAGTAATTGATAGACTCGGTGGAAAAGCCCTATATGCTGATGATAATGAACATAATAGTGCGGAAATCGTCAAAACATCCGACATCATTAACATTGATCCGAGTGACGAGGTTTTAAGCGTCATTAAAAAAAACGGAAAAATGCGCAATATTATTGTTTTTGTCAATATTGGTCAAATGCAATCTACAGAAGAAAACACTGCGACTTTATTGGATTTTTTTGAAAGCATAATGAATCAATCATTGCAACCAAAACAAGTAATTGTTTACGGCAATAATGATGTTATGTTGTCTCAAACATTTAAAATAAGGTACCCCGGTTTATTAACTATTGAATCAAGCAATAATATGTTTTATGACTTGTCGAATTTAGTTAAAATGTCTAAAAATCAATTCAACGAAAATGACAGAGTCGTATTTGTTAACAGTCATGCAAAAATAAACAAAAATACTTTATTTTATTACGAGTTATGTTACCAACTTTATAATTGTGACTCAGTAATAGTCAATAATTTAAAGTTAGATAATATTATGTGTTATATGGCAAATAATGATAATTTTAATTCAAATAGTAAATTATCATACTCGATAAATTTATGGTGTTTAACAAAACTGTCGGATTTACCTATACATAAAATTTATGACGATAACGACACATTTTTTACAAAATATGTTAAAAATAATAAACTAAATGTTTGTATTATGAATTTAAGGTTGACCGATTCTTTTGTATTTGCAACAGAAAATATCACTAACACCAACATAATAAATATTCAAAAACTAAAACATAAAAATAGTAAAATAATTAAACCAAGATATCTTTTACGAAACACAATAAATATAACAAATATAACAAATGTTGGCAATGGCAATAACAATGACAATGACAATGTTCATTTTGATTTCAAACATTTAAATTATGACACAATTGTCGTAACCGTAACTGTAACCGTTATCGATTGCAACTGCATATGCAAATGCAAATGCAAAGCAACATGTGGTAAAATCGGCATAAATAAAAATGCGGTATTTGCCAATTTGGGTGTTGTTAAAAATAAAAATTTTAATACATATTCACAACTACTGGTAATTCCCAATTTGCCAGAAACCTGGGAAAATATACCAAACATCGCTTTATTTCAAACTGCAAAAACAAATGTTGTGGATCCGTATATGTTTTATTCAATAAGAACAATTACATCTAATATTCCCTATTTTACCTATTTGTTATTTGATTATAACGATTGTGATAATTATATTAGAGATGTATACCCAAGATTAATAAATGTATACAAAAAAATCAGACCCAGTGAGCTAAAAACGGACATGTTTAAGGCTCTTTATGCCTATAAAAACGGCGGATTGTATTTAGATTGCAATCAGGCACTCTCGGCTTCAATAAAACCGATATTTGGGAAAAAAAGGATGTTGACTAAAGATATTATAATTAATCGTGTTTATGACAAAACATTTTACGTTCAGGCTAATGACGAATTATTTAGAGATTATCTAATTCTTATGATAAAAAATGTCCATATGTCTCTCTATGGACAAAATGCTTTTGATATCACTGGTTCAAGAACTTTAGGTAGAGTTACAGGACTAACAATATCAATACATGATTACTGTAAATGCAAATTATATAGACCAGGATCAGACATAAATATCAAGAACACGTTTTTTTTGCAAAATACAATAAACACAAGGTTGAACCCCAAAATGCATCGTAATTATAACAATTATATATTAGACGAAAACGGTCAACAATTAATTAAAAACTACGACATGGACATGCATGATTTTAGCACATCGTGGTACAAAAAAGACGTGTTTAATAAATATGAAATACGCATTAAATCCGATTTAATTAAACATGTGTATTGGATAAATATGGATAAATCGACTGACCGATTTAAACAAATGACCGAAATAATGAAATGTATATACATACCAAATTCCAGAGTAAGCGCAATTGATGGAAATAATCTAAATTCGGTTTTACAACTACAATTACAATCATTACCCACAACTATTACGAGAAACGAATTTGGATGTTGTATTTCTCACATTAAGGCAATTACATGCGCGTCTAAACTACAACTTAGAGACAATGATTATGTTTTATTCCTTGAAGACGATATATCTCTTGACAACACGGTATTTTTTACCGAAACAATAGACGATATTATTCGAAACGTGCCAAATAATTTGGCTGATTTCGATATATTGATGTTGTATAAAACATATCACAATACTCTCGATAACACATATGTTTTATGGAACGATTATTTTAAAAAAGGTCCTGGATATCATATCGCCGGAACAGTCGCATATGTTTTGTTGGCGTCATTTGCGGATGTTTTTGTAAATAAAATTGCAAAATGCGAAGACACAATATGGGTCAAAATCACACCAAAACCATTTGATGTGTCTGATAAGTTTATTTTTTCAAATGCAAAAACTATTACATACAAATACAATTACTTTTCAACATTAACAGATTCATCAATAATACATAAGAGTCATCTAAATTTCCATAAAAAAAGTGCCGAATACCAACTAACCACAATTATCGATAATATTATTTTAAATAAATTTTAATAAAATGTTTTGACTAAACGATATTATGTTGGGGACCTGTTCACATTACAAGCAAAGCACATATGTTTTCAATAACATTTTAATTAGTTTTTGTTTTTATATACAAAATTCGCAAATAATGTATAATCGAAAAAATGAAATTTATTTTGAATATAATAATAATTGTTAATACAATACCATAAAATTTAGACACGTTAAATAATGAATCCGGAACTTAAAAGAAAATAAAACTTACGGAGGAAAAAAACTCATTGTCAAATAAAAATAAAAGAAAATCAGATGTGTTAACAAACACCCAAATATAATACAAACGCAATGGTACTTGATAAAAACGAGTTAATTGAAATAGAAGTTGTTGTTTTAATTTTAAAATCAATAATAAATCTTTGGTCACCCAGTGGCAATGACAAAAGTTGTCTATTGTCTTGTAATCATGTTTTGACATATGGTGAAAATAAAAGATTAATCGAAGTAATAAAAAACATGAAACTTGTTAACGTTGGGATTGATTTGGGTAATTTTTTTAAATCGGAATTATTTAATTTTTCGATTGAGTTTTTGACAAA